GCTCCGAAATGGGCAAAATGGCCTACGGCCACAAAATGTAGCCCACAGTCACTGAGAGATGGTCTACGGGACCTCTCTCTTCCCTCAGGAAAAGAAACAGAGAAAACCGAGTCTGGTTCGCAAACCGAGGCAAGGCACAGAAGAGGGTTCGGAAGTCCGGAGGCAGGGCTCGCAGCCGCGACTCTGAGACTTCTGAACAAGCACAACATGCAATATCACCGAGTGCTCAACTGGTGACGTCTGAGTCTCAAGGTCAGTCAAAAATGGGGTGTCTACAGGTGGATACTGAAGCAACCCGCCATATTTGTGCAAACAAGAAAATGTTCACAACCTACAAAGTGGTGGAAAATGGCGATTAGCTTTTCATGGAAAACTCCTCCACATTAACTATAGAAGAAAAAGGGAAGATAGTGCTGAAGATGACCTAAGGAAAGGAACTCACTCTCAACAATGTACTCTATGTTCCAGAAATTCGCAAAAAAATTTAGTTTCTGGGTCATTGTTGATTAAGAATGGGTTTAGGCTAGTATTTGAATCTGAAATAGTTTACTAAGGCTGGAATGTATGTAGGCCGTAGCTATATGACTGATGAGCTTTTTAAGCTCAATGTGTTAACTGTTGTACCAACTATTGCTTCTAATAATAAGAACACATCTTTGCTTATATTATTGATCATTCTCATTTATGGCATGGTAGATTAGGACATGCAAATTATGATTCTTTACTTAGACTTGTAAATCTATAATGTGTGCCTAATTTTAATTTTGATCCTAATCATACATGTGAGGTATGTGTTGAAGCTAAAATGACTAGAATATCATTTAATAAAATCGAGAGAAGTATTGAACCTCTAGGTTTAATTCACACTGACATTAGTAATTTAAAATTTATGCAAACTAGAGGTGGTAAAAAATACTACATAACTTTTATTGATGATTACACTAGATATTCATATGTGTACTTATTGCAAATCAAAGATGAGGCCTTAGAAGCTTTTAAGCAATATAAGGTAGAAGTTGAAAATCAACTTGGCAAAAAGATTAAGATTGTGAGAAGTGATAGAGGTCGTGAATATGATGCACCATTTGATGGGTTCTACTCAGAACTTGGTGTTATTTATCAAACCACTACACCTTATTCTCCTCAGTCAAGCGAAGTGGGTGAAAGGATAAACCACATTCTTAAAGAGATGAGGAATACCTTGTTGATAAGTTCGGGTTTACCCCAGAACTTGTGGGGAGAGGCTATTTTATCAGCAAATTATGTCCTAAATATGATACCTCATAAGAAAATTAACCAAACACCTTATGAATTATGAAAAGGTCATCGACCTTCTTATAATTACTTAAAAGTATGGAGTGCCTGGCAAAAGCAGCGATCCCTAGTCCTAAAAAGACTAAAATTGGACCAAGAACCGTTGATTGTGTATTCATCAGTTATGCAAATAATAGTAATGCATATCAGTTTTTGATACTTAAATCAAGTATTCTTGATATAAATGCAAATATTATTATCAAGTCAAGAAATGCATCCTTTTTCGAACATATCTTTCCTTTGAAAAAGGATGAAGAGAATCAAATTCTTGTAGATACAGTGTCAATGGCTGAACAAGCCGAGTCATCTGGATTGGAAGAGCTAAGTTCTTCTAATAAACGAACTTTAAAGCCACCATTGAAAGTGGCGAAGACCAACAGGAATATGAGCCTACACGTGGAAAGAGACTAAGGACATCTAAATCTTTTTGTCCAGATTTTCTAACTTTTATGTTAGAAAATGAGCCTCAAAGCTTTAAGGAAGCGATATCAAGTTCTAAAGCACCTTATAGAAAGAGGCAATAAATGGTGAAGCTGAGTCTATTCTACAAAACCATACTTGGGAGTTGGTTGATCTTCCTCTATGGTGCAAACAACTTGGATAAAATTGGATTTTCAAAAGGAAGATGGAAGCCAATACGTCAATTGATAAATACAAGGCTCGTCTTGTAATTAAGGGGTATAGACAAAAGGAAGATCTTAACTACTTTGACACCTCTCCTGTAACAAGAATAACATCCGTTTGTATGTTGATTGCTATAGCAGCTTTGTGTAATCTTAAAATGCAGTAAATGGATGTTAAGACCGCCTTTTTAAATAGAAATTTAAATGAAGAAATCTACATGGAACAACTCGAGGGATTCAGAGTTCCTGACCAAGAGAAGAAGGTTTGCAAACTTGTCAAATCTTTATATGGATTAAAGCAAGCACCAAAACAATGACATGAGAAATTTGATCATGTTATGATTTTGTATGGGTTTAGGATAAATGAGTGTGACAAATGTGTCTATGTCAAAAATACTAATTGAGGTTATGTCATCATTTGTCTCTATGTAGATGATATGCTCATCATTGGTAGTAATATCGAAATGATAAAGTCTACCAAGAAATTGTTAAACAAAAGGTTTGATATGAAAGATATAGGAGTAGCAGATGTCATACTTGGAATGAAAATTTCTAAAACATCTGATGGATATGCCTTATCTCAGCCTCATTACGTTGAGAAAATTCTGAAAAAATTTGGGAAGCATGACAACCGTCCTGCTAAGACACCTATAGATGCTAATGTTCATTTATTAAAGAATACAGGTAAAAGCATATCACAATTAGAGTACTCTCAAATCATTGGAAGCTTGATGTACTTAATGAACTGCACACGGCTTGATATAACCTTTGCAGTCAGCAAATTGAGTAGGTACACTGGAAATCTGGGGAAGGATCATTGGACAGCTATAATTAGGGTACTTAGATATCTAAAACATACCCAAAATTATGGATTGCATTATACAAAATATCCAGCAGTACTTGAAGGGTATAGTGATGCAAATTAGATATCGGATACCAATGATTCAAAGTCCACTAGTGGATATGTCTTTACTCTAGGAGGTGCAACAATCTCTTGGAAATCCTCTAAGCATACTTGCATTGCAAGGTCCACAATGGAATTAGAGTTTATCGCTTTGGATAAAACAGAAGAAGAAGCAAAGTGGCTTCAAAATTTTCTAGAAGATATTCTGATGTGGCCAAAACCTATACCAGCTATATGCATACATTGTAACAATGAAACAACAATAGAACAGGCACAAAATCATATGTATAACGGCAAGTCTCGACATATTTGTCGATGACATAATACCGTTAGACAATTGCTCTCGAATGGTATAATTATCATTGACTATATAAGATCTAGAGATAATATTGCGGATTCGTTAACGAAAGGGCTAGCTAGAGAGAAAGTGCTTAATTTATCAAGGGAAATGTGATTAAAGCCTGTTAACTAAGAATTGTCATAATGGCAACCCAACCTAGAAGACTAGAGATTCCAAGAACTAGGTTCAATAGGACAACCGAATTATGTAAATTCCTCGATCACTAGAGAAGAGTGATCCCTGCAGTGTTGTCAGGATAAGCTTTGCTTTTAATGATTTTTATATCTTGGTTATCCAAGTGGAGTGTGGCAGGACATTCTTAATAAGAATCACCTATATAAATGTGAACTGAGCCGGTTCTATGAAAAAATTCTCTAGAGCACTCACTGAGCCAAGTATAGTTCATGGCCAAAATGAACACAACCGTAGAACAAGACTGTGTCTAGTAATACTCTGTGTGTAATCTATTGCCTTGACTTACACCAACAGCTAAACAGTTTAAGGCATTGCATCCACTGGACAGCTAGTAAGTCCAATAGATTTTCACTATGGGAGGTTTAAAGCCAAATGCTTCCTATCCTGAAGTAGGGTATCTCCTTAATGTACTCTCACGCATTTTTTGCATATTGTTGCATGTTTGTTTCCGTCAACTCCATTCATGTGGGAGATTGTTAGAAATTTTGAGTTTCTAGGCTTATTTTTGGGTAATTTTGAGCCCAAATTGACGTGGGACCCATGCATTATTTGAGGTGGGTCTGAGTGGTCACGTGTTCTTTGTCACGTGTTGAATCATCTCTCGAAGACGGTTCATCAAAAACATTTCCGAGCAAATGGGAAGTTGACGTCATTTTCAGTTTCATGAAAATAGAAGTTGAAGAGACAAAGTCGGTTTGTTCATTAAATGGCTTGTCCTACATTGAAACAAAGAGAGAGTTTACATGAGTATATAAACTCTAGGTTGACATACTTGGGATTGGGATGGGTCCTAAGGGGCATCCCAAGTTTTGTAAGAATGGGAGTTATGGGCAAAGTGGGTTTGACCTAAATCTCCCACACGCACGCCCCGCCGTCGTCCGGCCGGGCGCTGGTGCGTGGTGTGGGTCCTAATTTTAATTTTTTGGACAAAATTCATTTGAAAATTTTCAAAAAATTTTGCGGGAAAATTCAAATTTTTGCGAGAAATTTTCGAATTCAAACCCGAACAATGACATCCCTTCCTTCTTCGATCACCTCTCTTCATTCTAGCTGTTTTCAAATTCGCACCTGTTCAGAGGGGTTCCAAACCCATCTAAATAGTCACCATCTTGCCTATAAATTCAGATCTTGTCCAAGCAATTCCATTATTCGTTTTTCTCTTCTCCTTGAGTGCATACTTCTGCATATTTGTTCTTCTATGTTTCTGTAAGAGAGAATACAACATAGTCTGTTCCCAGTCCCAATATCGTAGTGTTGCATTTTTAGGTGTAGTCGTTGCATCTTGGGACGTTGGCATCATTGTTCTCTAGCACCATAGCGAAGACGTAACGATCTTAAAGAAAGTGTGTCCAACACACGCCTTAACTTTTTCTGTACTTCTACATTTTCTACATCCTGTAAGTTCTATTTATATTATTTTATTTTTTTACAGTTTGTAGTCCTATTCTTTTCTTTTTATGATCTACAGAAATATTATTCTGTTACAGAATAATTTTTTGGTTTCTAAAAAATAATTTACATTCTGAAATTATTTAAACTTTTATTGTATAAGTCATTTTGTATTTTTTTAAAATATACATAGTTCACTTATTTTAATAAATAGTTTCCTACACGGATTACATCCCTACATACCATATTGGAACCACTTATTTAATATGGTGAAAATATGGAGTTCTGTCCTTACTCTTTTTTCTATATGGTCTACCATAATTGGTCAAGATCAATGCAAAAATTGATAAGATAGTTACAAACTTCTAAATAATTTTCTCAAAAAAATATCCACATAGATGGATGTGGGTCTCACAAAATCCCACAACTGCCTGTAAAGTTACTTTTTTTTTTTTTTTTTTCTTTTTTCTTTTTTTTTTCTTTTTTTTTTTTTTGGGTGTGACTGTCAACTACATGTAAACTTAACCCATGAAATTGGTGCCTAAAACTGTCCACGGGCTTTGCTAGGTGAGCCGTTCAGGGCCTAATACGTTAACGCTGTGTTTGATTGAGAGATTTAAAAATAAAATTACAAAAGAGAAAGGGAAAAACTGTTATTTATATTTTATCTATCTTTTTTATTTCTCTTTCTAAATTCTTTATCAAATCTCCTAACCAAACACAACCTAAATTGAAGCCTTGCTGAATGGGCTTGGTACGAAAGGGTTAGTGGGTTGAACTGTTGGCTCAGCCCAACATGATAAGATCTTAATCTACTTCTAGACTTAAAAGGAGAAGGAAAAGACTTACCGTTACCCAAAGGAAGAATGCAAGCTCGAATGCACTCTGAAATAATCAGGAAAAAATGTAGCAATTTGTTAGTACTCTAATAATCCAAAACAACTTAAGAAGAGTTTTTGTCTTTTTCTTTAAATCCTCGTTTTAGTTCTTGTTTTTTTTCTTTAAATGATTTGAAGCAAATAGAGAAGGAAAAATTACAAATACACTCTATGAGGTTTACATAAAATATGGATTGTCCCTTGAAAAATTATAAATATTCCTCTATTAGAATTTTTTAATTAATGGAATTAATTGAAAAAATAAAAATTTTAACTGCTCTCCTATATAATAATAAAATTGTCTGAATTATTAATTGAAATATATTTTTGACATCATTAAAATTGTTAATTGACTTGATGATTTATTAATAAAATAGGTCATTTGTTATGAAATAAAAAAATTTAAGGGACGAAATGCAATTTTCAAAACTATAAGAGACAACTTGAATTTTAAGCAATGCTCAGAGAATATATTATAATTTACCTAATAGAAAATTATTTATTTTTGTTTTCGTTTTGTTTTGTTTTATTTTACAAATTGAAAATCCAAACACAAACCTTAATGCATTAACACAAAGAAGGAATTAAAGTTGGTAGGTAGGTACCAGAAAGAGAGTCAAATGGAGAAGAGTGAGAACAAATCTTGGGCGCCCAAACCAGAAAAGATCATCATGGGGTTGAACAAGAGGGGCTCCTTTGATTACATTGTCCTGATTGTTGAGTTGAAGAGCCATTCTTGCGACTATCACTTCTAGTTTAGTTCCAAGCACTAGCACTATCTACATATATATACATATAAAATTAGACACTTTAATTATCATTGATCCATGGAGAGGAGACCAATGAAACTTCATACAAGTTTCAATTTAGTATTTTTTGCTGCAAGATGTATATACTTACTAGTAGTGGGATAAATGATATAAAGAGATACACGTGCCAACCTGATTCGATCCAAAACCAATTTTTTAGATCAAACATTCTCATGTGAAAATAAATAATAATAATAATAAAAAGAGATAAATTATATTGATTTCCTTGATATTTGAATTAAATACAGCAAATTTCACAAATTTAGGAAAATTAGTTTGACATCCCCTATACATTGACACCGTTAACTAAACAAGCAAAAATTCTAATTTACCGTTAGCAAACTCAACATTAACTAAGGAAAAAATAGACATTTTAGCACAAAATTGGCAAAAATCATCGTATTCCATCCATCTTATTACCCATTAACTAACAGAAATTGGGCAAGTTAACCCAAAACTGTGAGATTTGATGTATTTAATCCAAAAAATCTTAATTACAAAATAAAATAAAAGAGTAAAAATAAAATAAAGGAATTCTAGAAGAAAACCATATACTCACCTTGAACAACCACGAGCATAAAGATGACAACTATTAACCACAAAAGTGGGCTGCCAAGACAAAGACAACACACTATCAGAGTAAGTTAGATTGCTTTTGGATCATGAATTAGGCTAAAAATTTAAAAAGGAAAATGGAAAAGATGGGTGAATTTTTTATTTACTCCAAATAATGCTAAAAAAAATAAGTATATATATATATATAGATTTAAATTTGTTCTAACATGATGTACATATATTATATCATAATAAATTTGAATCACACAATTCATTTTCAAGATACTTTTTCTGGGTGATGAGGTTATGGCATCCTTACTAGTGGCAAGATGTACGTAGTATTATCTTTAATCTTTGAGATTGTTTTTGTAACTCAACTAAAGTTGCACTGTTAAGAACGCTAATGACAAGCTTTACTAGTGGCCCAAACCGTCCTTTCAAAATATGTAAATGAAATATATGAAAGGGGTATATAAATTATTAATTAAAACGTTTAATTATATTGTTTAATATACGATGACAACCATGAAGAGCAAAGAGTGAAAATAATCTACAACCTGATACTGACTATCACTTTAAAATCTTCTTCCAAGGATCTCTGTATGTACTTTTGGAAATAGAAGTTGTTGTGCCTCTCAGACAAATGAGCCTTGATTGTGAAATTTCACAAAATAAAATCACATGGTTAATCAATCAAGAACTCATTTTCCATCACAATTTTTTGATGAAATCAATTTGAAAATTAGGAAGATTAGAATTGAGAGACCATTACCGAGATAAAACCGTGTCTCAAGGTGAGGTAATCAACTTTCGCCACTGACTTGAAGAATTGTCTGAAAAAACATTTCTATACAATTTCACAGTTACTTATTAAGTACCCAAATGCAAATCATCAAAACTATATTACTTTAAAAGGACAATAAGATCGTGTTTGTTTGCTGAATTATTTTTTCAAAAATTGAATACCATAGGAAAGGAGTTGAAAACAACAGCAGCACATCATCAAAGCAGGGTCACAGCAGAGGAGAGTCACACAGCAGAGAAGAGTCACGTGTCAAGCTCCAAACAGAATTAGTTAGATTAGTTAGATGGTTATGAATTAATCAGAGTTAGGTTATATTTCAGTTACATGTAAACTGTAGTTCAATAGTAGTTACATATTCCTTTTCTCTATAAATATGTATAAGCACTGTACTCAAAATCTATGAAATAAAAACAGATTCAATTTTCCTTTATGGTATCAGAGCCACATTCAAGCTCTTACGAGCACTGTTCTTGAAAGATCCATCAATGGCATCTTCACTGCCAACTCCATCTTCAACATCATCTTCCATTCCTCCAAATCTTGCTCTTCTCATCACAAATCTGAATTCATTTGTCAATGTCAAACTCGATTCTACGAATTTCATCATTTGGAAAAATCAAATTCAAAATATCTAGAAAGCTACACAGCTTTTCCAATTTGTTGATGGCACACAGATCTGTCCATCATCTACTGTCACTGATGAACACAATAAAGTGATTTTGAATCCAGAGTATACACAATGGATGCTTGTTGACTCTCATCTGCTCAGTTGTTTGACTGCAACTCTTTCTCCACCTATTTTCACTTCTGTTCTTCATTGTTCTACAAGTCATGAGGTGTGGCATGCTCTTCTCAAACGTTTCACATCCCTATCAAGGTCACATATTCACCAGTTGAAAAACAAACTGAATCAAGTTGTCAAAAAAGGCCATACCATGGATGAATACTTAACGCATATCAAATCAGTTGCTGACCAGCTAGCTTTGGCTGCCTCACCTGTAGATGATGAGGATTTGGTTTTACTGATTCTTAATGGATTGCCTGATGAGTACAATGCATTTAAAACATCCATCCGAACTAGATCTGAATCCATTTCTATTGGAGAGTTATGTTCTTTACTGAACTCTGAGTCTATTCATGTTGAGTCCTCATCCAAGCAAAGTCATCTTGCAGAAATTCCATTCGCTTATCATACCGCAAGAACTTCTTCTCGAGGTGGTTATAAAGGTGGTTCTTACAGAGGTCGAGGAAGAGATAGTAGCAGATTTTTCAGAGGTCATTCTTCTAATTCTCGAGGTAGAGGAGGTAGATCTTATGGCCAGAGTTCACATCAAGGTGCTTCTCAAGGAGGATATCAAGGATATCACTTACCTCATTCTTCTACTCATTCTTCAACTGCTCAACATGTTTCTTCACCAGTACTTTGTCAGATTTGTGGCAAACCAAATCACTCAGCATTAGAGTGTTGGCATCGGTTGGATACTTCTTTTCAGCCTGCCAGATCTGCCCCTTCTCAAGCATATGTTGCCTCCACATCCTCTCAGCCTGGTTCTATCATTGGTGACAGTTCTCATATCAACACTAACACCAACTGGTTTCTGGATTCTGCTGCTACCAGCCATATTACAAATGATTTGACCAATCTGGCCTCATATCAACCATATCATGGTTCTGATCAGGTTACTGTTGGAAATGGTAATACATTGCCTATACATCACACTGGTCAAGGTCTCCTTCCTACACCTTCCTTTCCTTTTCATCTCTCCCAAATGCTTCATGTTCCTTCCATCTCTTCCAATTTACTTTCAGTTCATCAGCTTATTTCTGATAATAATTGCACTATTACTTTTGATAAAGATGTGTTTCTTATACAGGACAAGAGTACCAAGATGGTGCTCTATAAAGGCTTTCATTTCCATGGTCTCTATCACCTTCCTAGTAGTTCTATCCCTGCCTCTGCTGCTCCATCTACTGCATCATATTCACCAGCAACATGTTTTCATTGTGCTGTTAATAGTGCTAATAACTCGGCTTCTCCTAATTGGCATTTTAGATTAGGACATCCATCATCCAGAAAACTTCAGTATCTTGTTAAACATCACATGGTGTCTCCTTCATCTGTTGATATTAATAAAATGTGTTCTCATTGTTGTGTTTCCAAAAGTCATAGATTACCATTTAGTTTGTCAAATTCTACTGTCAATAAACCTTTGGCTCTCATTCACACTGATGTGTGGGGCCCATTCACTTCCACTGTTGCTTCCTACAAGTATTATGTAATTTTCATTGATGATTACAGTAAATTTACCTGGTTATTTCCCTTATATTACAAAAGTGAGGTATTCTCTAAATTCTTGGAGTTCAAGGTTTTTGTTGAAAATCAGTTCTCTACTCACTTACAAGTTTTACGCAGTGATAATGGGGGTGAATATCTTAGTAACAAATTTCTTGATTTTTTAAAAAATAAAGGTATTCAGCATCAATTAAGTTGCCCTCATACTCCTGCGCAAAATGGTGTAGCTGAAAGGAAGCACAGACATCTCATTGAGACTACTATTGCCCTTATGCATCACTCTTTTTTACCTCTTGCTTATTGGTTTGATGCCTTAGCCACATCTGTTTTTCTGATTAACAGGCTTCCTACTGCTAAGCTTAATTTTCTCACACCTTTTGAAGCCTTGTTCCACCAGTCTCCTGATTATACATTTCTTAAGACCTTCGGTTGTCGATGTTATCCATGGCTCAAACCTTATACCACTCATAAACTACAACCGAGGTCTGTGCCTTGTGTGTTTCTTGGCTATGTTCCATCTACTAAGGGCTATCGGTGTCTTGATCCTTCCACTGGCAAGGTGTATATCTCCAGACATGTTGTTTTTGATGAACATAATTTTCCTTTCGCTTCTTCCTCTACAGTCCCATCTGTTTCTTCTTCCTTGTCCCAGCTCAACTCATTTTTCTGGTCTTCACAACCTGCTTCTGCTGTCATTTCCTCTCCACGTGCTGGATCTACTTCTGCAACTTTGTCTTCAAACAGTTCTACACCTGCAGCATCTGCAGCTATATCTTCTCCAAGTGCTATACCTGCCATTCTGCCTTCCACAGATTCTTTTCCATCTGTTCCTTCTATATTTGGTCAATTTAATTCTGTTCAAACTCAGCCTGTTCAGTCCCCTGCCCTACAGTCTGTCCAGCCTCAGTTTGTTCAGTCACCTGCACTACAATCTGTCCAGCCGCAGTCTGTTCAGCCACCTGCATTCCAATCTGTTCACCAGTCTGTTTCTCCTCATTTGTCTTCTGCCCCAATTCAGTCTCCTCCTTTACAGGCTCCTTCTTCTATTCCCATTTCTTCTTTATCTGTTTTTCTACCTTCACTTCCTTCTACTAATACTCACTCTATGATTACTCGATCCAAATCTCAGCCACATTGTTTTCTTACCACCACAGATCTTACTGAACCACAATCCTATCAAGAGGCTTCTCAATCAAGTGCCTGGACTGCTGCTATGAAAGATGAATATGATGCTTTAATCCGACAAGGAACTTGGACTTTAGTCTCTCTGCCACCCACCAAACAGGCTATTGGTTGTAAATGGGTATTTCGTCTAAAGAAAAATTCTGATGGCACTATTGCTCGGCATAAAGCCAGGTTAGTTGCCAAAGGTTTTCTTCAAACTGAAGGTATTGATTATTTTGAGACATTTAGTCCCGTAGCCAAGCAGCCTACTATTCGAATTCTTCTCTGCTTGGCTCTTCACTTTCAATGGTCTATCAAACAACTGGACATTTCAAATGCTTTCCTTCATGGTGTATTAGAAGAAGAGGTCTACATGCATCAACCCATTGGTTTTGTTGATACCACACATCCTTCCATGGTTTGCAAACTCAATAAAGCCTTGTATGGCCTCAAACAAGCTCCTCGAGCTTGGTTCTCCACCTTTTCTTCCTTTCTTCTCACTCAAGGCTTTAAAGCTAGTCATTGTGATTCTTCTTTATTTGTTAGGAAGACTTCTCACTCCATCACCATTCTTTTAATCTATGTTGATGATATACTTCTCACAGGGAGTGACTCCTCTTATATTTCTTCTCTCATTACCCACATGCACTCTACTTTTTCAATGAAAGAATTGGGGCTTCTTAACTATTTTCTGGGTATTGCTGTTACTTCTTCCTCCTCAGGTTACTTCTTATCTCAAAAGAAATATGCTACTGAAATTTTAGTCAAGGCTGGTATGACCAACTGCAAGTCTTCTCCTTCACCTATGACAATTACTTCTTCTTCTGATCCAGCCGCAGACTTGCCTTTCTCTCAGCCTTCCCTCTATCGAAGTCTTGTTGGTGCCTTGCAATATCTGACTATAACCCGTCCTGACTTAGCTTTTGCTGTCAACCATGCTTGTCAGTTTCTTCAAACCCCTCTCACCAGTCATTTTGCTTTGGTTAAGAGACTACTGAGGTATCTTAAGGGAACTCTTCATCTTGGTCTCCAATTTAGTCCTGGTCCTCTTACTTTACATGCCTTTTCTGACTCGGATTGGGCTGGTTGTTCTCTTGATCGACGATCTACCACTGGTTACTGTGTATTTTTAGGTCCCAATCTCATCTCTTGGTCAGCAAAGAAACAGCCCACTGTCTCCCGGTCTTCTACTGAGGCTGAATACAGAGCCCTTGCTCAAACGGCTGCTGAACTTAGCTGGATTGGTATGCTACTCTCTGATTTGTCCATCGCTGTGTCAGCTCCTACCCTTTGGTGTGACAACATGTCTGCTATCTCCTTGTCCAACAATCCTGTCTTTCATGCAAGATCCAAGCATATTGAAGTAGATTATCATTATGTTCGTGAACGAGTTGCAACCAAGAAGTTGCACATCCATCACATCTCATCCATGGATCAGCTTGCTGATTTGTTTACTAAACCTCTTGCCTCCTCTCGTTTCCTTTATCTTCAGACCAAGCTTCTGGGCTATCACTCTCCCATCAGCTTGCGGGGGCATGTTAAGGAGCTCAGCCAAAGCCAAACAACAGCAGCACATCATCAAAGCAGGGTCACAGCAGAGGAGAGTCACACAGCAGAGAAGAGTCACGTGTCAAGCTCCAAACAGAATTAGTTAGATTAGTTAGATGGTTATGAATTAATCAGAGTTAGGTTATATTTCAGTTACATGTAAACTGTAGTTCAATAGTAGTTACATATTCCTTTTCTCTATAAATATGTATAAGCACTGTACTCAAAATCTATGAAATAAAAACAGATTCAATTTTCCTTTAGAATTACGTGTACGCATAATGAAATAATAAGGAGACGATTATTTTAGAATGTTAGATCAGAAGAGAGGATAATTTGAAGTGGAGGGATTAATTGATGCCATGGGGTGCGATTAGTTATCCCCTAGCTCAATTAGTCCCCCTATAAAGGATAAGAGCCAAATCTCAAGATAAGATATTTTTGCCAAACAATAGACAAGAAGTTCCAATCCCTCCTCTTTAATCTAGCAAACAAAAAACCCATGCCATATAGGGAGAGGTAAGATATAGACTATAACTTACAATCCACAGGTGAGCTGTTGAATCTGTACAATGCGTCATGTGACGTCTCCCAAATGTTGTTTGTCTAGTGAATCTAAATCGATTTGGATCTGTTAAACAAATCATATATTAGAAGGGGGAAAAAAAGCTAGATTATTTTGTATACGATATTGAAATTGGAACTCATGTATATGCAATATTCATTTGGGTTAATTAAGCAGGATTTAACTTGCTCATGTTACAAGCCTAAATAAGAGTAAATTCTATCAAAACTAGCTCTAGAAAGCCATAGAATGCATAACTAGTTGATATTATATTAGGTCATGGCCTCCAAAATAAGAAAACAGTAACTTGCAACTTATCTTGCAATTTGCAGGGTTGATGATATTTCCCAAAGAAAAGTAAAACAAATTTGAGCTACACCATGAAAAGTCTTAAATTCACATAATTTCAAAGTAATTTACCATTTTAAATTGAGTCCACCTATCCATCAACCAAGTTATTATTCATCTATGAGTCAAAGTGTGTTAATAAAACACAAGTTTAAATTAATTTAAAATAATAGACAACAATTATAGGTGGAATCAACACACTAAAATTCTAGGCGCACGGTCACGGGTTCGATTCTCCGTGGGATTAAACTTGGGATTTAAGCGGGAGCCGCGGCGGTGAGTTGCTGTGATTGCTCTCAGAGGATTAGTCGAACTGGTCAAAAACCAGAGCTCGGATACCTCGGTTATCAAAAAAATAATTTTAGACTAATCAGGTTTGGTGTTTTGTTCACAGACTCCTAAAGAGTGTGACAAATTAATTTTTCATGAAATTTAGGCCTTGTTTGTCATAATCTAAAAAAGTCAAAAAGTCACTATTCTATTTAAGTCACATCATCTTATTTAAGTCAGATCACCTCTCTACCACATCACTTCAAACTGAACCCATACCTAACTCATATTTCATAAAAAGTTAAAAAATGCACTTATTTAGATCATTCCAAACCATCCCTTAGTATAACAATACAACTCAAAAAAAATTATTTAAAAAAGTATTTATAAAATTATATCGATAGACTTCAATCATTATACGTCTTATTTTAGAATGAATTTTAAGACAAAAATTGTGGATAAATAATATTTTTAAATTTTGTACGAGTCCTTATGTGAACATTGACCGGACCAGCTTACCAAAAACATTAGCGTGAAGACCTAAAATTCTTCAAATAAAATAAAATTTTTGAAAGATAAAGAAATAGAACTCTATCTCAGACCAGTGAATTAGTTTCTACATCTAATATTACCTTAATAAGTAAATTTCAACACTTTTGAATATCTTAGGCTTGATTACATAAGTACTTATGCATGCAAAAAGACCGCCCAACCAATGAGTTTCATTTTGTTCGAACTTTCAAAATGTGTGAATGAAATACATTTTTTGATTAGCTTAAAATAATAAAATTTCCAATTTTATTTTTTTTTGATCAGATTAATTTCCAATTTTAGATGAGATTAATACACTTTTTAAAGAGAGTACACTGTTTTAGACAATAATAATGATACATATACCATATTTTATATCACACATTGTACATTAAAAGGTGGGAATGGCTATTTTTTTATACCATTATTCTCCTTGATGTATTTTGTTAGTGATCTTAACACCTCATCTGATAAACCTTACTGTGAAAATCATCAGTTTAAAAAATTAGATTCATCGAATATCGATTAATAGATGAACAAATCATATTTTGTTTTATAAAATAGATGGTTCACGTTTAAATAGTTTCCGTCCATTTTTAAAAACAAAATGTAATTTGTGTGCAAGTGCATTAATGTTCAATAAAATTAAATTTTTGCACAACTCATCTTTACTGTTAGACTTACAAGATAAACGGTTCAAATTATCATTTTGAGCTGGGAATAAGGCCCACAAAATACAATATGAATAAAATAGATATGAAAAATAATGAAACAGAGAGAAATCATATGAGAAAATGGAAAGCTTAATAGCATTCTTTAGACAAATTAAAATATTGTATTTTGTTTCCATTATGTAAACAAATTCATTTTTTTCCAAAGAATTGATATGCATGTTTTGGTAGAAGAGAGTTGTCCATGGAATTGGGATGCTGCTGCGCAGCCCGTGTAGTAGCAATTATTGTGCGGTAAAATAGACCCATTTTGGAGTTCATTTTAATAATTTGAATCGTTCACATTTTAAAATATATCAAGTAGAACATGTCTGCAAAATATCAAGTTAATCAGATATTGTTTACTTATTCATCCACTCACATTTGTATTTATTTTAATACTTTAAATCACAATTATTATTTATTTTTGTAGATACAAATATGAGTGGATGAATGGGTAAACGATAACCGATTAATTTGATTTTTTTCAGGCACATTCTATTTGATGTATTTTAAAATATGAACGATTTAAATTATCAAAATAAAACTTAAAATGAGTCCATTTCACTACACAGCAATTGCTCGTGTGGTTCGCGTAGCAGCATCCCTAAATCGAGTTGTCCATAGCGCAGCAATATGGCACTGGAAAGTCTACAAAGCCGAAAAATCACATGGAAAATGACCCAAAAAATACATGGTAGGGCCACCTCTCGGGCAAAGAAAAACCCTGGCCTGTATACATTATTTTTTCTGCTTTTTTTAAAAATTTTATTTTTAATATTAATATAATTTTTCAAAGTTCCCAAACTTATGTTGAGCCTTTTGGTCATCAAATCTAGAAGCCTATGTGGTCAGCCTTTTGGTCATCAAATCTCTTCTAGAGAGTAGATCTTGGGTTTCGCTTTTAGGTGTGAAATGAGAGAGTAAAATTTTCTTACAGCGTATATGGATGTGAGTTTCAACTCTTACAATGTGTTAATTTAACAATTAACTACTGACTTTCGCCGATCAAAAAAAAGAATAGAAAAGAAAAAAATTAATTTGAATCGGAAAAGTTTTCAACAAAAAAGTATAATGAAGTGTTTGGATTATCGATTTATATATGATCCCAACTTAAGGATAAATTACATTAATATTTAAAAAAAATGTAATAACTACTACAAGGATATACTTATATCAATTTCTTTTTCTTTTTCTTTTTCTTTTTCTTTTTCTTTTTTTAATAAAGTTAGAGTGATAGGAAAAATACATGGTGTGAAGATACCGGATAAACAAGGTAAGATTATTCACTATAACATATAAGAATTGTAGGTATCAAACTTTTTCTTCCTCAAGTGAATTTTATTGCAAAAATTATTAAGAAACCAATTCCAGTCGTCATGTGAGTCATCTCGAGAAAAAAAAAAATACATTTAGTGACAATTGTAAAATATTGCTAATAAATGTAATTTTAGAGACTATTATGTTGTATTGAAGGGTTTACTTTTTTAGACAACAAATTTAGTCCCCAAGACGATAGTAATTTATTAGTAAATGTTCAATTTTGTCACTAAAAATATAATAATGACAATTTTAACAACTAAATTTGGTAACAAAACATTAGAATAAATTTTTGAGTCATATTAAAACAAGTTATTTTTTCAAATTTTCCTAACCCTAAACACAAAAGTAATTAAATTCATAAATAATAAATAAACGTGAAACTCATTATTTTATAATATATTTTTAAAATTTTTAGACATACCGTTTGCAACTTGGTACTCAGTTGTTTGAGTTTCTTTCTCCCAAGCTTTCCAACGCCTCATCTACATGGATTAAAAACAAATAAAAATGAAAACAAAAGGGGAAATATAGAAAAATTTTAAGCACATAAAATTCGATTACAGAATTAAATATGATTATGACTAATTCTGTAATCGGATTATGTGCACTTAAAAGAAATGAAAAATGTATAGCCAAGGATGGATGCTAAAATTTGTAGTGGACAATATAGCTTGTTACCTTGAGCGTACCCAAAGCCATGGTAAGTACACTATAAACAATTTGCATGACTGCTAGCACAAAGAAGAATATGTGAAGCTGGTGTATCCCTTCTTGTGACACTAGTGAAACCTTTCCCTGCAAATTTCAGTGGGTAGATATTAACTACATCTTTACAAATTTGTCCTTCAAATTAACGAAATTCAAATAAAATTATAAATTAATTTCTCCCTTTATATTAGTATACATAGATGCACCATGATAGTTTCTCCCTTTATATATTAGTATACATAGATGCACCATGATCCAATAACTGCCACATGTGAATAGGTTGAAACCTGATTGGTTTGTTTTTCAGAAGAAATTTTCTATAAGAATTCTAAGAAAATTATAAATTAATTTGGTATAAATATATTAAAAAAAATACTCATAATTTGGGGTACATCAATATTTTTTAAAAATTTTGAAAATATCTTTTAGATGTTTATTTTTGTCAAATTAATTTCTATTTTTTAAAAATATTTTTGAAAACAGATTCTGAAATCAAACCAAACATAATTTTTTGAGCTTTATAGAATTGAAGAAAGGAGTAAATTGAAATTTGAAAATTTTTACTAAAACACTCTTTTCGAAGAACAACTACTTTAAAAATAAAGTTTTAAATTTTAAACTAAATTAATTGAATTTTTTTTGCCAAACAAGTTGCGGCAATTTATTATCAAAAGTGTTAGTAACAATATATAATAGTAAAATGTTTGAGGGTCACAATTTTTATGGCCACAATGGCTCAAAACTGTCAAAACGACGTCGTTTTGGATTCGTTTTAGCATGTTTTGCATCATTATACTTTTTTTTTTTTTTTTTTTTTTTTTTTTTTTTTTTTTTTTTTTTTGCACAGCAGAAAAGGAACGTACTTCAGCTGTGCATTTATCAGTACTGTTAACTGCACCCGCATCCACATCATCCTCATCCAATCCTCTACGTGGGATTGTCCAGAGATTACCATTATACAAACCCGCCACCGGAAAGTTCAAATTTCTGATAACTCCGACTGTAAAATGCTCCACCGTGGTGGTGGTTTCCGCCAGTCTCCTTTTGACATGGAAGCATGATATCTGCAAGCCTAGTGGGTATGCAGATGTTGGAAATGGACTCTTGTGTTACTGCTAGTATGAGTGACATGAACCCTAGTAACATAAGCTCTGCAAAAACAATTCCAAAAAAAACATAAACAAAATCTAAATCTAAATCAAACATCGTATATCAGTTCTACTACAGGTGCAGAAATCAAACACAGAAATTAACATAGAATTCACATGAATAGACAAAATTTTATAGGATTTATTGTTTGAAAATCTTGTTTGTTTACATATATTCTGTGTCTTTTTGTGACAAGTTTATGTGTTCTAAGATTTTATAAAAATTGAAATGACATAATGTGAGAACACAGAAATTAATGAGAGAACGGACAAAATCCTCTCACATGAGTGGAGTCCCACTATTTTTATAGGTCTCCCGCTTGTGTGAGAGGGTTGAATCTTATTATGTTATTGATTTTTATGCAAGTAGAAGAACTGTATTGAATCTCTGGACAGTTATTCATTATCAAACCAGATTTGAGCTTTTCAACAGCATCATAGAGGGCAGACTTCCGATTTCTTTTGAGCCACTGTACCAATTAGAAGTATTGAATCAACATCTGTTCCATTCAACAATAATCAAAGTAACAAAGATATATATGTGTGTGTGTGCGCGCGCATGCTGACTTCGGTGATGAGATGGATGGAGTGCTCGATAATAATGGAGATGGCAATGATGAAGAAACAGACAGTGGCAAAGGCCCATGTCGGAGTGTACTCAAGAGACTGACCGGATGTACCTCCGCCTGCCATGATCTTCTGCTGCTGCTGCTGCTGCTGCTGCTGGTGGAGGATGAAGTGGTGGTTGTTAGTTTGCCTTCCTATGGTGTGGAGACTGGATCAACATTGGCGACATATGACTACAAGAAGAAACTAGAGTCTTATATGTATTTATAATTAAAAATGGTTTTTTGCTTTCCTTTGTGTGTTTGGGTCAACCTTTTCAATCAGCTCTTGGTTCAATTTTATAATTAAAAATGTAATAACAATAATGTTCAAGTGATATTGCTTTCAATTAATTTATCACTCTAGATTTTGGTCTACTATTTTTTTGTTTTGTTATGTAAATAGTTAAAATATGAAGCAATAATAATAGATTTTATCTTTTTAAAATTTTCTAATAACTATTTTAAATTGACTTTTATCTTTTTAAGTGAAATGTAAAAGTACAAGGTCTCAAATAATGCTTCTCTTTGGATCCCTGAATGTTCAATGCCAAATTTTGAAACAGAAAGAAAAGAAAAAAAATTGCGTAATTCGTCAAATTTATCAAGTAATCAATCGTATGTACATCTAATAATATATAGATATACAAATATTTACTCTAAAAAAATGATCTTTTATCACATATCATATAGATCAGACTTATATTAAATATTCTTTAAAAAAAAGTGTGAACCCAAATAAATAATCCAAGAATTGACAATCTACATTTGGCCATGAAAATCAAGAGTTTTGACAATCCACTAATCAAAATTTAAATCGTGTTTTGACAATCCACTAATCAAAATTTAAATCGTGATGGTTGACCACGTTTCGATGCGAGGAAATTGGGGATGGGAATGGAAAGATAAAAGAGTAAAAATCATCCTCACACGTTTTTCTTTCACTTTGAAATGGAAGGAACTTGAGAGAGAAGCATTCAATTCTCAAGAAGCACTCTCAGAATTTTTTTTTATTTTTTAATTTGGAAGACTGTTTTGCCACCCAAAAAAAAAAAAAAAAAAAGAAGAAAAAAACAAACAAACAAGCACAAACACTTTTTATGATTTTTTTTTAAGGTTAATTGTACTATTAGTTTTTAAAATATGGACCTTGCGCTATTTTGGTCGGGTAATAAACAACTTGAACGAGTTAAATGTTCAACCTTGGTTTGATGACTTTAATGACTTTCAAAATTTGTTCAAGTTTGGTTTATTAAACTTTTGAGTCAATCTCAAACGAACTTTTATCAAGCCGAACTCGAATAATTTAATATTTTATGTAATTTTAGATTTATTGAACCAAGCCGAAGGATCAATTGATTGTTCAAAATTAGTTTGAAAACAGCGAGTTACTAAATGTGTTCAAGTTTGACTTATTTATTTAACGAACCGAGCTTCAACAAGCTTTTAATAAGCCAAAAATTAGTCGAGCTCGAGCTACTTAGTTTGTTTATCACTCTTACATTTTGGTCCCTAATATATAAAAGTGTTTCAATTTTGTTCATAATATGTAAAAGTATTTCAATTTGATTACCAATATTTAAATTGTATCAATTTAGTTCTCAATGTATCAAAATTGTTTAAATTTAGTATCCCAATTTCCTCTAATGCTCAAATTATGTTATTCACTGTAATAACCCCAATCCCTAATTAATGTTAATCCATGATTAATTATGCCTAATTAGTAATTAAGGCAAAATTCTAAATTTAAATGCATGTGTGTGTTGCATTGGGGTGTTTATATCTGTTAGGCGTAGAAAGATCTGTTCGCGTTTTAGTTCGGTTTGCGAATTGAAGACCTTATCGGCGGTCGAACTTGAAATTGATTAATGTCTTATGCTAATTAGAATTTATGTGATTTTATGGTAAATTTATGTGAAATTTGATTTGGTATGATTAAAATGGATTAAATAAGGCTAAATTACATTAGTTCAAATTTATTACTATATTGCCACTTAGTGGGCCACTATTACAAACTTGTTTGGCACCTTCATACATCACTCTTCAGCCATGTTCTTAGAAACCCAAACCGTACGAGAGAAGGAGAGTAGGAGAACAAGATTGATTCATCTAGAATTGGCTTGGAGAATTAGAAAACTTGAAAAGGCTTGGCAAATTTGAACTCTTAGACTTGGAATTCAAGGTTTAAAGTAGGAGATTCCCCTTTCAAATGTGAATTTAAGATTAATTCTTGCATGATTCATGGAAGATTAGAGTTTAAAGTCTAGAATTGGCTTTAAGAGTTGGATTTGAGAGTGAATTCATGCATGCATGCACATATTCTTGGATTTTGGAGTTGTTTTTTATGAATTTTCACATACATATCTACATTTTTGTTATAGTCTATGAATTCATCCTATTCTTGAGCTTAATTTTGCTTTGAATCATGTTTTGGAGCATTAGAAGTCATGAGAATTCATGCATGTTACATTTGAGTTATGTTCTTGATATTTTATTTGAAATTGTGTTTAATTGACTCACCTTTGGGCTTTGATTTTATAAATTGATCTTTGAAACATCTTATACTATGAGTTTACAAGTGTTTTTCAGAAAATTAGCCCAAGAGGATCGAAATTAATGCTTTAAAAGTTGATTTTGAGCTTGGAGGTTCAATCTGAAAATTTCAGATTTTGGACCCACGCTCGAGTGTAGGACTTTACGCTCGAGCGTACACTCTGAATACATGCATCCCGCTCGAGCATGGAAAGTAACGCTCGAGCGTGAAATGCGTGTATCCAGTACTTTTCACATGTTTACAGTCCGCTCGAGCGAGGGAATGTACGCTCGAGCGAGGACTTGTGTCTCACGCTCGAGCGTGGATCGAGCGCCCATCGAGCGTGATTTTTGTGCATCCAGCACTTTTACTGTATTTTACAGTCCGCTCGAGCGAAGAAAGTCACGCTCGAGCAGAGATCTTTTGTCTGCATGTCCGCTCAAGCGTAGAAAGTCATGCTCGAGCGAGACCCCTGTTTTTTGAAAATTTTGAAAAGTGTTTTAAAATGCATGTTTGCATCCTCATTTCATCCTAGGCATTCCTAGGCCATGTTTAAGACACTATAGTGAAGATTTAAGGTTAGAAACACACTAAGAACCAACGACGTAAGTTTTATGCAATTAGAATGTGTGTTTCAAGTGTGTGTCTGTTATGTGTTATGTAGGTCACATGTCGCGTATCGTGTGATCAATCTACTCCGTCTGTCTGTTTCAAGGCCAACTGTGAGTAATAATTTAGTAAAGTTATGTTCAACTGTATCTATTTTCTGTGTGATAAAATAAGATCTGTTTTTCAAAATGATATGTTATGTACAATGAATGATTGTTCAATTTCTTATATGTATTCATGACATCCTTAGCATCATGTGATATCTGTTAGCTATTACTCGGTATCGGAGTTTCCTTTATGGAACTTATATCTGTCTACACTCTGTTACCCGTACCGGAGGCCCTGTCACGGGGGCTCAGCTTCTGTTCTGTTCTGTTACTCGAATCTAGAGGTTCCTTTATGGAATTGGTTATTCGTAACCCCACGTGTATATGTTCTATTCTGTTCTGTTCTGTTAGTGCTAATGGATGTATCACGTAAACTTAATCATGACTTATGATTTATGTCTGTATATGATCTGGATAAACTATAATTTTGATATGAAACTGAATTATGATTTCTGAATCTGTACAAACTCATTCATTGAAACCCTTTACTCTATTATTATTCACTAGGCTTTCGCTCATAGTTTATATTATGTATGTAGGTAAGTCGGCGGGTGACTAGGGCCAGAGTTGACGGCCTTCTGTTCTGTTTTTGTGTCAGCCAACTATTGTGCCTGCCGAGGAGGTTCCGAACGGAGCCTAATGCTATGGCTGCTTTTGTATTCATGCTAGTCTCTGTGACTGTTTTGTTAAGTCAGGTCTTGGGATGTACATTCTGTAAATACTTTGTAAATATTGCGTATCTAGACTGGCATGTTTATATATATAAATATGTTTTGAGATGTTCTGTCCCATGTACGTTATCACAGCGCATTGGACCTTGTTTATTTTGTATTATTACTTCCGCAGCCCCTTATTAATTGCTAATATCTTTAGAGGCCTTTGGTAATCCACGGATTACTGGTCGGTTACGGTACTAAACCTACAGGGACGGGTTTGGGTCGTGACAGAGTGGTAGTAGAGCACGTGTTCTACCGCACACACAGGTCTGTATGAGCTTAGGATGTCCTAGTAAGAGTTAGGGGCATTCCATCTGCATGTGTGAGTGTGTGGTAATGCAACTGAATATGAAAACTGAATGTACATTTGAATCAAATGAATTGAAAGGAAACGAATAAGATTATGCCTGTGTTTATTATCATTTGATGTCTGTATAGTAAGATGGAGAATGTAAGGGGAAGTGGTGAAAGTGAATCTTCAGAGGCTCACATGGGCCGAATGAAACAGATGTTAGCAGCATTGACTGAAACCTTGACACAACAGCAGAGACAACACTCTTTGCCCCATCTGCCTCCATCGGCACAAGCCGAGGCAGATAATAATGACATCATCAATCTAACACAGAAATTCATAAAAATGAAACCGCCAACGTTCTATGGTGGAATTGAACCTTTGAAAGCTGAGACGTGGTTCCTTGAGATGGAAAAATTGTATGAAGTATTTCCTTGCTCTGAAACTCAAAAAGTCCTCCTAGCCATCTACACTCTGAAAGATAAAGCCCACAGGTGGTGGTTACTGATCCGAAGTGGCAATGGAAATATGACATGGGCACAGTTTAATGCTATCTTCTACGACAATTACTTTCCCCAATGTTTTAGGGATCGGAAAGTGTTTGAATTTCAGGAACTCAAACATGGAAGAATGTCTGTGGCAGAATATGAAGCTAAATTCACTGAACTGGCACGGTTTGCTTCACATATAGTGGACACTGATTACAAGAAAGCATGAAAGTTTGGAGGTGGATTGGATTTGGAGGTGTTTGATCGAGTAGGCGTCCTGAAATTGCCTACTTATGTGGAAGTTCTAGACAGAGCCTTAATGGCAGAGGCCACCCTAGCCGCCATGAAACAAAGTAAAGCCCCAACAACTACAACAACTGAATGGAGAGGAAAAAG